GCACCAAGAGCAGGTGATGACACCACGCAGAGGCAGAGGGACCCAGGGCGGAATGGTGCAGCATCCAGGATGATGACAAACATATGCCCCAAGGGGACACGGAGCGTTTGTCTTGCACAGGCGAATCTCGGGGACAAGTGGGGAAGGCCCTTCAGCAAGTCAGCTCATCACATGAAGTCCTGGTGGCTTCGCAGTTCATTCCTGCCGCTGGACCCCCAGCTAGTGACACTAGGTAGAGCTTCCCAGTGGGAGTCTCTAGGAAACCTGCAGGGTGTTCACATTGGCCCTTTTTGCCCCAAAGTGTTTTCACACCGCCATCACATTTGAATGAAGGTCTGGTGCACATCAGGTCGCAGACGCAGAGCTCCTTTTCTTCGGTGCGCCTCAGTCCTCCCTCGCCGTCCCCCTGTGTCCCATGGGGCTGAGAAGTCCCATGTCACCGCGACTGCTGCTCCTGTCCGGGGTGCTCTTCGGCTGACGCTCTTTCCGTCTTCCCTCTCTTTTCCGACATGCTTACATTTTGCATAACTGCGAATGGGTGCGTTTTCCTCACTGTCTCGCCTTTTGGAATTTTATATAATCTTTCACCTTTGGGACCTGAGAGGACGCTGCAGGTTGAGGTCCCAGGAGCCAGACACCCCCCCCCCGCACCCCCCCCCACGCACGCACGCACGCCGCCGACTCGGGTGGGCGGGGTCCCAGCAGCAGCGCAAGGCTGGGGCTCGGGAGCCCCCCTGTGGCCACCCGGAGGCATTGCACGTTCTGCGCCGTGCTTCAGGGGGCGCTATGGCAATTTGAGCTTTAGGGGTGGTCCCACCTGCCAGAATACTTGTTCCCTCCTCAATTCCCCTGCCCCAACTTTCGTCATGGTCCAGTCCCGGTGTGACGTCACGCGGTGGCAAGGCCTGCCCTGACAGCACCCCCACCCCCACCCTGCTCCCCCTGCACTGCGCCGGGCCCACCCGCCTGTGCAACTTCAGTCTTTCCGAAGGCGCAGAGCTGCCCTCCTGGGAGGGAAGACTTAGCCCAACCTCAGCGCCCAGAGACGCCTGGGGCGCGGCCCAGCAGGCTACCGCCTGGCACTCCCCACCCAGCTTCTTTGCAGTGACCTGTGGTGGCCTAGAAACTGCCCTGGAGTTCTCAGCGCCGCGTGAGCTCCCACGCCAGCGGTGCCAGTGTTCCAGTGCGGAGCTTCCCCGTGTTCAGCCTTGTGCCATAAAGAACGAACAATCTTCTTCATCCTTACCTACTGTCGCCAACTCGTGGCTCCTGTCGCCCTGAGCCCCCATTCTTGGCCACTCAGATGGCGAGGCGAGGCTTTCCCCGGTAAGATCTCGCAGAGCTCAGTGTGGTGAAGGGGATTTGGTGTCCCGGCCAAGGTTTGGCGGACGCACCTGAGCTACACAGCGTATCTACTTCACCTGCAACGTCCCTTCCCTGTTCGAGGCAGGTTGGGAGTTTCTCTGGGGAACTGGCAGTAAAGCGAAGGGTGGAACATGAGCATTTATTAGCGTTCTCTCCCCAAACAGCACCAAAATGAGAATTCTGACAACAGTAGGTGCTTATCTACCCTTTCCACACCCCAGGACTGTCCTCAGCATGTCACATGGGCAGCTCATTTAGTCCCCGTGGTGCCCAACTTACTGAGGGGAAGCTGTGCTGCAGGCTCAGCCGGACTCCCAGGGGACGGCCGGAGGGTGGTCTCCAGGTGCCTGAGACACGGCGGGGACGTCCACCCACACACCTGGAAGAGGGGCTCTCTCTCCAGCCAACACTGCTGAGGTGCAGGCAGGGCTCATCCCACTCTGGGTGTCAGCAGGATGGCTGTCCAGACGGCTGTTCTGACCAGGTGCTGTCCTTGACCCTCTCGGATCTGCCGAGGACTCTGAGGAGGCAGCATCTGACCTTGCCTGGGGGGAGGGGCTGCAAGGACATCCACCCGCCCTCCCAGCCAAACCTCCCAGGGACTGGCCGCACCACCTCCACTTTCCTGTCCACTCCCTCGGGAGTTCATTCAAGTGGCCATGTACCCCACAGTCCACAGGCTATTCCCTCAAGCAGCCGGTGGCTTCCTGATTGACTGATGGGCATCTCAGCCCACCTCTCCCACCGCAGCCCCTCGGCCCCTCCAGCTCCTTGCTGGGTCCTTCCCTGTCTCACTGAGTCTGTAGCAGCTCAGCAGGTCCTGGGCCTTGGCTTGTCCTTCCATTGCTCTCTCAGGGCCCCTCTCATCCCAGGCCCCCTTCTGAGATGGGCACCAACACCCCAAAGCCCAGGTCCTTAACAAGGTTTCTATTCCTCCAGAACCCCCATGACCGCCCGCCTGCATGCAGTCCTCCATGTTAGTCACACGCCCCTGATGGTTCAGGCCTGGGCTCCCCCCACCTTCTCCCTGACCTCACCTCCAAACCCAGGGTCACCAAGTCCCACGGCCCCACCCCCTGCCACTCAGCACCCCTCCAACTCCCTGGAGCATTCTTGCCGGGCTGCCCAGGGTCCCTGAACAGGGGCCTCTTTCCGCTCTGACCAGCCCCACCACTGCCCACTCTGACCAGGATGGGCGCCCAAACGCAAGCTCAAGCCCCTGCCCACACCCACGTCCACACACCAGGCCAGCACCCACCATGCTTGAGTCAGGCCCAGCAGCCCCAGAGCTGAGCCACCTGTGGCCTCACCATCTGCGCCAGGTCCCACCACCCTGATCCTCCCTGCTGGTGCTCCACTCAGTCTGGCGGTCCCTCCCACAAGGCCAGCTCCCTGGCGGGCAAGGAGAGACGGCCTCTGCCTGGGCTCAGCACCCAGGCTGCTCGGGCGTGCAGACAGCCGACCCCCCATCAGGACTGGTGACTGAGGAGTAAGGTGATGAAGGACACAGGGACAGCCAGCTGGCCTCTTCGGCTCTGGGCCATCACAGGCTGCCTCAGGAAGCAGAGAAGGGACAGACGGAACGTGGCCATTTCCCACCCCATTCCCAAGGGAGACCCAGAGGACAGACCTCTCAGGCTACGACTGACAGAGGCCCCTGGACCCCAGCCCTGCAGAACCAGCACTCACTCCAGGTCACGGGTGTTTGGGTACCTCGACAGGGACCTCAGAGACATAGTTGAAGGGCTTATGGGCTCTTACCAAACTAAGTCAGAACAGAGCAAGGCTAACGGCCAGAGCATGAGAGGCCAGGGAGACGGCGCCCAGGTGGAAAGGCGTTCTCGGGGGTCTGTGAGCCCTAGCCTGCTTCTCTGCCCTGGGAGGAAGCCGCGCTCAGGGACCCAGCTCCCACCTGACAGGGCGGCATGTGGCCTCAGGCAGAGCCGCCCCCAGCAGCATGCCCATCACTGCCCGCTGACCATCTCCGGAGGAAGATGCTCAGAGGGGAAGCGTCAGAACAGGCAGGAGCCCAGGATCGACAGTCAGAGGAGCATGGCAGTCAGACCCTCTCCGACCCTGCCCTCCGGGCCTGCCATCACACAGCCGAGCTGTTTCCACGGGGCTCCCCAGCAGAGACCAGTCAGGGACAGGATGGACCAGCTCTGGCTTCATGGGGAGGAGGGGCAGCTCAGGCCTGGACACCCAGAACGGGAGCTGGTCCTGCAGGCCTTGCCCTCGGGTCCTCCCAGGCCCCACACTCCCAAGACGGCACCCACAGGCTGCTCCACTGGCCCTGACTCAGTGCAGCCCCTCCCACTCCCCGAACCCAAGGTGGCTCCACCAGCCACCCGGCCTTCCCCGTCCACTTGCCAACCTGGCTGACCCCCAGGCCCTGCATACCAAGAAGGGGTCTGCCTGCTTCCCCCTGCAGTTCCTCGCTGCCCACAGAGCTGCCGGGCCAGGGGCAGGTTGTAGCCTTGGTGTAATTCCCACACAGCTGAGGGCAGTTATCCAGAAGCCAGCTGGCTACAGAGCAGGTGACCCCCAGAGGCCAAAGCCCCCGTGGCAGTGACCTTGGACATGGGAGGGGTGAAAGGAAAGCAGGTGCATGGGGTGAGGCTGCCACCTGCCCATGGGCCCCCTGTGATGTTCCAGCCAAGCCCTGAACCCCCACTGGAGAAAAAGGGCTCCCAGAGGACCCTCTGCGCACCAGTTCCCACCCTTCTGAGGGAGGCTGGTATAGACCCCCAGGTATCAAGGACCTAGGCCTTGCATCAGGAAGTGCCACCAGGCTCCATGATGCTCCATGACACCTGACAAGATGTGTAACCACCACCCAGTCACCATGCAAGGCGTTCTCAGACAGCCATGCCAACCTCCTCCCCAGGTGCTCCAGGAGTTCCCCATCCCCGGGGTCTGGTAGGGTGCCTGGGTTACTGGGGGAGGCCAGGTATGAGATCTGTAGATGGACCTCAGCGCGCTGGCCTCTCTGGCCGCCAGGGTGCCGTGTTGCCTGAGCCGGGGCCTCTGCGGGCTCCCCACGGCACAGGCCACAGCCAGGCTGCACGGGCCACCTGGCCCGCAAGGCCGGGATCTGTCTGGCTCTGGCTGTGGTGGGCTGAGGGAGACTCCTGTCACCAGAGCAGAATTAGGGGCTTGGGGACACTTCTGGGCCTGAGGTGCAAGGACAGGGACAGAGGCCTGTGCACCGTTGAGTTGGGGGTGGGTTAGGACAGTAGTCCCCAACCTTTTTGGCACCAGGGACCGGTTTTGTCCTGTGGAGGAAAACAATTCTTCCACAGACTGGGGTGGGGGATGGCTTGGTGATGACTCGACACATTACATTCAAGGCCTCCTCCTGCTGTGCAGCCCTGTTCCGAACAGGCCCAGAGTTGGGGGGCCCCCAGGTTAAGGTACTCCAGAAGAGCACAGTCAGGGACACGGGCCTCTGGGGGTGGGGACCGTGAGACTGGGGGGAGGGCTCTCCAGGACAGCAGCAGTTGTCTCCCACCCAGGAGCCCCTGAGAGCCCCCTGGGGAGTGTCACCCACTCACACCCCCTCCTCCCACCCCTTCCCCAGGATGCAGCAGATAGCAGCGTGAGACTGTGGGTACAAAACTGTAAACATGAGTCTTTAAAATGACAGAGGCCTGCTCAGCCCCAAACTCTGAGCCAGAGGCCCGCACTGAGGGACCCCAAAGGACCAGACCTCACCCCCCTCTGTCCTTCCTTCCCACCCAGGATGTCTCGGAGGGCCTTTCCACGCGCATACACTGCCCTGCTCTGGGGCGGGTGGGGGAGCCGGGCTGAGATCAGTGGTCCAAGTGGGTCCCTGAGATGAGAAGCAGCTGCAGACCTGACCCTCGGGCACCCGCCGCCAGCCCGGGGGAGCCCGCCTCCACCCCATCCCACACGCACTGCACGCCCCACCAGCCAGCGTCTGTGCCCGCAGGCGTCCTGGGGCCATGTGGGCCCTGTCACGTGTCCAGAGCATCACGAGTGGGCGAGGGCCCATGGGGGCGGCCAGGTGGGCCATGCAGTGGCGGCGGTGGTGGCACCGAGTTGCGCTGCGAGGGCGGCGGCTGCAGCTCCAGGGCGAGCGCAGGCGGCGGGAAGTCGCGCACCTGGCGACGGTACTCGAGGAAGGTGCAGGCCTTGGTGGCAAGCGCCACCACGTTCTTGCCGACGAAGATGGCCGAGACGCGGCTGTCCCGGAAGAGCGCCATGTTGGCGGCACGCGCCAGCACCGCCACCACGTTGACGGTGGCGAGGCTGAGCACCGGGTAGAGCATCATCTTCTGTGGCGCGATGTGCTCGCCCTGCATGCTGACCTCGCTGAGCGCCACACACGGCAGCACCAGCAGCAGCATGTAGCAGTAGAAGAAGGTGAGGCCCTCAGCCCACAGCGGCAGTCCCGTGCGCGGCGGCTCCCACAGGTTGGCCTGCATGTCCAGCAGGTCCAGCAGGTCCAGCGCCACCCAGAAGAGGCGGCCTCGCAGGTCCTCCCGCTTGCGGAAGGTGCGCACGTACTCCATGCGGTCGAGCGCTACCAGCAGCAGGAAGAGGCCCGGCACGCACACCGACAGCAGCAGCGTCAGCGCCTTGCGCGCCACCGGGTCGGTCGCACCCCGCCGGGCAGCCTTGTAGTTCTGGAAGATGAAGTAGAGCTTGATCTCCAGCACGAAGATGTAGAGGAACCAGAGGATCATGGCGTAGCCGCGCTTGGCCGTTCGCACCTCGGCGCCCACCCACACGGCCACATAGCGCAGCACCAGCAGGAAGCACACGTCGCCCACCAGCACGATGATGCACACACCGATCTTCCGCGGGCCCTGGTTCTGCTCCACCAGGTAGGCGTCCATGACTGCCATGCTGCCCATGATCACCAGCGTGGTCAGGCACACGTGGCGCCGGTCCGGGGGCGGCAACACCATGGTGGGCCGCCGGGACCTTGGCCTGGGGACACGTGGCCCCCACGCGAGGCGGGACAAGGCCCGGCAGCGGTGGCGCTCAGCCCGCGGACATGGCGCAGTGAGGCCGGTCCAGCTGCCCCAAGGGCGCCACTGCTCCTGGCCCGGGAACTCAGAACCTGGGAAGACCAGAGAAGACAGAGTCAGGGAGCCGTGGGGGCTGCCTCCCCCACTCCCGCCACTAGCCAGAGCTCCGGGTGGCACGCACGAGCCCGCGCGCGCCCTGACCAAGAGCAGCGGCAGGACCTCCAGGGGGCGCTGCAGCCCAACCTGAAACTCGAGATCTGCCGGCAGCAGCCGGGAATTAAACAGAATAGAAGTGGCTTCTCCGCCACACGCATCCCCGGGGTCCCGTTGTTCCTCCCTACTGAGTCCATGCCACCATCCCTCCCGCTCTGGTGGCCTGTGCCTCACGCCCGAGGCCGTTCTCACGGGGATTCGGGCGTCTTCTCTCCCCATCAGCGCTGCGCTGGGTGGGGACATGGGCCTGTACCCTCAGTTCTGAACCCTGGAGAAGCTCAGGAGGCCAGCGGAGGCCCAGGCCGCATCCTGAGACCCGGGTTTTGTGATCCAGGATCTGACTGAGTCAGATCCAGGACCTGAGTCTCAGGTCCAAGTCCTGAGATTCCAGCCCACGAGCCTCTCCATGCCTTCCTACCCCTGCTTTCCAGCTCACCCCCTTGCCCCAGCCAGCTTGGTGTCCCCACAGGTCCACCCTCCACAGGCACGTGGACCACCCACTGCCCTGCTCCCACCATGGCTTCCACAGCCTTGGGAGGCTGGCGCCCTGGCCTCATCCTCTGCTGTGCTTGCCCCTGCACCCACACTGCCTTGCTCCCTGGGAAGGGGTGGCCCCTGCACCTCCATGTAGGGCTCTGGAAGCTGCCCTCGCCTATGCCCACTGGGACCCCTTTTGGGTCCGAAGCCTTAAGCCTCTCTCATGCTGCTGGCGCCTGTTGGAAAGACACACCAGGCTGAGGGTCCCACACCTGGGCAGGGTCAGGACAGGGGGTGATGGAGGCCCACACACACTCCCCCACCCAGAAGTCCATAGCAGGCTCACTTCCAGCCCAGCCCCTCACCTATTCTCTCCCCACCACAGCCTGGCCCCAGGGCTCTGATTACTGGCCTGTCTAGACAGGGCTATGACATTTAATGTCACCCCTGAGTCTGGAGCAAGTGCTTGGCTGGCTCCTGATGACAACGCGGCCCCCACTGACCAGAAGGAGGCCCTCACGCAGGGGTCTTGGCAGCCACACACAGGACTCCGACCATTCTGAGCTCAGACACCTGGAGTCAAGGGTGCCCCTGCCTCCATAGTTCATGAGTTCCTGCTCCCCACCCACACACCGGCCCTGTTCTCACCCCCACTGTGTCGGCAGGTTGGTCCCAGGGAACCCCCCACACACACACCCGCCCCGTTCTCACCCCCACTGTGTCGGCACGTTGGTCCCGGGGAACCCCCCACACACACTCTCGGGCCTCCTCTGGCTGCAGCAGCGGCCTGGGGATTTCCTTCCCCGGCTCACCCAGGCCGAACTGCCAGAGAGCCCCTTCCCCGCATCCACTTCCCCGCGTTCTCACTTCTGCTGCCACCTCTCAGACCCGGGTGCAGACCGCCATCCCCAAGCCAGCGCACAGGGCGAACCCGGGCCCGTGCCACCGAAGCCGAGCAGGGCCGGCCCAGCCCTCTCCAGCCGCCCTGGCCGGCCGGTGCCGCCGCACGCCCTCCGCCTGGCACGCACAGATCTGCGGCCTCGGCTCCTCACCGCCCTCCAGTCCCTCGCTCTAGCCCCCACCCAGAATCACCCTCCGTGTCCACCAGCGGGGCAGCCAGGGCCGTCGCCCTCCACTCGCCCCCCGCCGCCAGCCCCCACCGGACAGAGAGCAGAGACCGGGCTGGGCCGCTCCCCGCGCGCTGCGCCTCCGCTCCTCCGTCCAGGCCTCACCCCTGCACGGCGCCCGCATCCCACCGTCCCTGCGTCAGGCAGAGGGGGCGCCCAGGCCCGGCCCCTTCCCAGCTATAAGAACGCAACCGCCTTCCCGGCTGGTGCCTACCCGCCGCCCGCAAGATGCCGCGCCCCGCCGGCCCGCCGAGCCTCTGCCAGAGGGAGGCCGCGCTCCTTGGCTGGGCTGCCCCGCTGCACCCTACACCCCTGCCCGAGGCCCCGCCCCGCGCCCCACGTGCCCCACCGCCTGCGGGGATGGGGTCCGGAGCCGGTTGCCAGGACAACAGCACTGCGCAGGAGCGGCGGCGGCTGGCATTGGGGAGCCAGACACCCCCAGGGTCCAAGCGCAGGCCCAGAAAATCACTGCACCCTTCCTCACCCGCAGCCGGACAGCTTTCCTCGGTGCCCCAGTCTCTCTGCGTCCTGAATTTCTATAGCAGCTCCCGCCCAGGCCACCTACCAGGTGACCCCCCTGGCCCAAGACAGTAGGCCTCTGGGAACCGTTCCTGCCCCAGGGAACTGGCCAGACTGACCGCGGCTCTCTGCAGGTGGTGCTCGGGGCCTCGGTGTGACCCATGGGAGCAGACCCAGAAACACCCAGTTAGGTCACACGTTAAGGTCTGTGATCCTTTTTAAGTTACATTTGATGTGTGTTGTAAGAAAGGAATCTGTTGTGGGTTAAATTGTAGCCACTCCATCCCTGGCTGGTGTAGCTCAGTGGATTGAGCGGGGGCTGCAAACCAGAGGGTCTCTGGTTTGATTCTCAATCAGGACACACACCTGGGGTGCGGGCCAAGTCCCCCAGTGGGGGCCACGTGAGAGGCAACTACACACTGATGTTTCTCTCCCTTTCTCCCTCCCTTCCTCTCTCTCTCTAAAAATAAATAAAATTTAAAATAATTGTGGCCGCCCCCCAAAAGACATGCTGAAGCCCCGCCCCCATACCTGTACCCAGGACCTTATTTGGAAATACAGTTAGTTGACCCTTGAACAGTGCAGGTTCGAACTCCACTTACACAAAGAATTGGTAAAACCCACGAATGACCCGCGTTCTAGGGTCAACTGTAGAGCCTTTGCCCATTTCATCCAGCTAAATCAATGACGTCTGAGCACAGGGACTAATGTCCTCCTAAGGAGAGAGATTTGAAGACACGGAAGGGAAGGAGGCCCGTGAGGATGGAGGTCAGAGCGCAGCTGCGACCCAAGAACACTGAGGCCTGCTGGCCAACCCCTGCCTGCCTCGGAGAGGCCTAGAGCGTGTTCTCTGGAGTCCCCCGAGGTCCACACCTTGAACTCAGCAGCCCCAGGACACTAATCCAGGGTCTGGTTTTGTTCTTTTGAAAATCCACTGGTCCTGCCACCATTTGTTGGGAACACTACTCTTTCCCCACTGAGCTGTCTTGGTTCTCTCGGCACAAACCAACTGATGGTGGCGGAGACATGGAGACAAGCAAAGTGCCCTTCAACAGAGGACTGGATAGAGACGTCCCGGTGCATCTGTACAACGGAACACCACTCGGAAAGTGGCCATAAGGAAAGACAAAATACCGCCATTTGTGGCAACAGGGACATACCTTGAGAACATCATGCTAATGAAATAAGTCCGTGTGGCAAAGCTGAGAGCCACACGAGTTCACTCCTGTGTGGGAGTAAAACAGACTTGTGGACACAAACCACAGTGGATGGTCACGGGGGGGCGGGTGGTGTGGCGAAGGGTAAAGGGGCCGAGCAGATGGTGATCGGAGATGATCTGACTTTGGGGGCGTGGCCACGTCGTGCAACGTACAGATCGCGGATCACGGAACTATACACTTGACACCTATCTGATCCTGTTAACCAACATCACCCCAATAAGTGTAATTTAAAAAATCAATCCACCATAATGTGTGTGTATCTAGACTGTCGGTCCCGTTCCACTGGCGTGGACACGGTCTCTTCTCCTGCCCACGGCGCGCCGGCACCTGCGGCCTCACGGTGAGTTCTTGCTCCGGCACTGGTGCATCCTGCCGCACGTTGTTCTGTTTTAAGGCTGTTTTAGCTGTTCCGCATCCCTTGCATTTTTTGTGCAGAATCAGTTTGTCAGTTCCAGAACAGCAGTCTGGGATGTGGAGAGGGATCGTACTGAATCGTTAGAACAGTTTGGGGATGAAAGATGTCATTCCGCTTGCTTAGGTCTTTGTTACTTTTTTGACAATCTTTTGTAGTTTTCAGATCACAAGTTTTGCTCTACCTTTGTTAAGTTTGTTCCTGAGTATATTATTCTTTTTGATGCTGTTATAAACGTAACTGTCTTCTTAACGTCATTTTGGTTTTAATGTACAAAAATGCAGTGGACTTTTACCGATCTTGTTCCCAGCAACCTCACCAAACTCATTTCTCAGTCCTAATTACTTTTGTGGATTCCTCACGGGTCTCTCTGTACAAGATCATGTCATCTCAAATAGAAATACTTCAAGTTCTTCCTGGATGCTGTCTGTTTCTGGATTAAGTGCCCTGGCTGCACTGTCCAGTACAGCGCTGACCAGGAGTGGACAGAGTGTGCACCCTGCCTGTCCCTGGTCCCAGGGAGGCACCTCTGTCGTTCACCCCTGAGCGTGAAGTGAGCTGCAGAGTCCTGGTGGGGTCCTTTCAGCAGGCGGGGGAAGTCCCTTCTGTCCCTGGTTTGCTGAGGCAGCCGGTTGATCTTCCCTAAGGCATAAGGATGGCCTGACAGAGTCTCCCCAACTGAACATCCAACATGCAAGAAAATCTCCAACCGAAACCTCGCATCTTTACAAAGATGAGCACAACATGGATCGCAGGTCTAAATGTAAAACTGTAAAACTTTGAGAACAAAATATGAAAAAAAATGTTCATGACCTGTGGCTGGGCAAAAAAACACCTCAGATGGGAGTCCAGAAGCACAGCCCCATGAGTGCCGTGTGGAGGGCGGTGGGGAGAGAAAGGGCCAGTGACAGACTGGGGGGAGGGGTCTGCAGACCCCCACGGGTGAAAGACAGACACAGAATATCTTCATCCGAACTCTGTGGTCAGCCACTTCCGCACAGAGGGCAGATGGTGACAAGTGAGCCAGTGAGGGGACGGTCGACGGCAGAAAATGTGGGTGTTACTGGTGAGTCACCTCCACACACCAAGTGACACGGCCAGGAGTGAACAGCTGCTGGAGGCTGGGGTGCACGGGGTGCACGGGGTGCACGCGTGCAGGGGTGCACGGGTTCAGGGTGAGATGGCAGATTTCAGCCCAAACCCGTCAGTGGTTCCCGTGATTCCAAGTGAGTTAGAAGCGTTGGTCGGAAGACAGACACGATCTGGTTCCACCAGCCATTTAAAAGCAGAGACTCCGTCTGCGGCGTCCCCGCAGCAGACGCAGACCAGCCACCTCAGCAAGCAGGCCGTGGGCGTTGGGAGGTGCTGGCCCCACACTGAAGGGACGCAGGGCTGTCGCGAAGGGTCCCAGGGGCGCCCTGTAGGGGACTTGCTTTACGTCGATGCAGGAAGACACAGTCCTTGCATAGGACAAGAGGCGCCAGGGTGACGAAAGGCGGGGCACTAAGAAGGGACTGGTCACCATGGCACCCCCTGGGCCCGCATAGACCAGAGTCCAGGGCATCGCACCGGGCCGATGTCCGAGGTGGGCACTCGTCTCCCAATCAACGCCAATATTCAGGAGAATCATTCTTTTGCTGAAATCAGAAATTTCTTGGGTGAAAAACGCATCCTCGGGATTCGGATGAGGTCAGGCATTGCTTGTTCAGTATCTCAAGCCCAGAAAGAGAAGTTGATTCTCACAGGAGATGACATTGACCTTGTACCAGATTCAGCCGCTTTGACTCAGCAAGCCATGGTCGTCAAAAACAACGGAATCAGAATCGTTTGCATCTGTTTCTGAGGCAAGGACAGCTCAGCTCAGCCAGCTCATGAAGGAGACCTGGGCTGCTCGCTGCAGACACAAGCGAGAGGCCGGACAATCCCGCAGACGTATTCGGGACATTTTAAAGATGGGACAAATGCCATGTGTGGGGTGGGGGCACCAACTACTCAGAAGCTGAAAACGAGAATAGGAAGGGGCAGCTGCCTGGAGCTACTTGGCTGACCTGCAGCGCTGACCTGGGCTGCAGGGACAAGGTCAGAGAGCAGAGGGCCCGCCTGCCCTATGACAAGGTCACTGGGACCTGTGACAGCATTGGGGGAGGGGCCGGACTAGTGTCCTGTGGCAGCAGTAACAAATGACCACACGGGGGCTTGCAACTACGGGAATTTAAGCTCTCACAGCTCTTCCCGAGGCCAGAACCTGTTGGGTGCTGGAGGGCACCCCCTCCAGAGGCTCTGGGGGGGCCGTCCGGGGCCCTGGACCCGGGTGTCCGTGTGGCTCACAGCCCGGGCTGCATGCTCCTCTCCGCTGGGTCTGTCTCATCTCACTGCCCTGCCTGAGTCACTGAATCTCAGCCCCCACGCACTTAATCCGGGATGATCTCCTTGTCTCAAGAGCCTGGATTTGACTTAACTCACCTGCAGGACCTTTTCCTAATCAGGTCACATTCACAGCTCACGGGGATGAGAACAGAGCACGGTCCGGCCCGTGTCCACACCAAGCTTTCCGACTGGCCTTTCCTCTCGTCCCCTCCCCCTGCGTGTCCTTCCTTCCTGTGTCCGGGCCTGGGCTTTCAGCCACATGTCCAGCATGGGCAGGCAGGAGGTTTGGGGTGAAACAAACGCATAATCAGCCTGAGGGGCCAGCTCCGCTCTGTCAGAGACCAGGACACACAGAACTGGGCTATGCCAGGACCCACCTGCGGGCTCTGTACGAGCGTGGGCGGGTTCGAGGCAGGTGTGGGAACAAGTGTGTGTGCACCCAGCACACTGGCGCCCAGACCCTCATCCCTGACATGCCCCAGGATGCCTTGTAGAAGTGATGCTCGGGGCTGGGGCAGAAAAGTACAGGGTGAGCCTCAAGCAGCTCGTGGCCCCAAAGGTGAGGGATCTTCCAGAGGTGACAGGCGGGTTGGAGGGTCCATGGGCTGTGGCTGGACCAGCTGAGCATCGCAGTGACGGGAACAGTGGCAACCCCTTGGGGACACAAAGCCGTGGGTTCAGGCTTCGTGATCGGGACAAAGTGAAGGCTGTGGGCCGTTGCCACCTCCTGGAGGCCGGTGGCCTGACCGCCGTGCCCGCCACTGACACAGGTGAGCGTCGCCTGGGGTGCCAGTCTGATCAGAAGCAACCACTCCACAGAGCAACAACGCACTCTCCCTGCGGAGGGGCCCCTCCGCATCCGGAGCTCCACAGGCGGGACACACTTCTCAGTGGGGCCCCAGGCAGCGCCCCTGGCCTTCGTGACAGAGCATCACTTCTGTGCTAATCCTGCCCCAGGGAGCGCAGCCCACGGGCTCCTCTGAAGTGATCCTGGGAGGCAGGTGGGGGAGACTGAGGGGAGGGGACACCAGGTGCTCACAGGGGCTGCGGCTGGACCGCGCGGACCCACGAGCCTAGCCTCAGGGCAGTGGGGTGTGGGGGGCGCCTGCGGGTGGTGATTTCCTGACTCTGGAGGCTGTAGCTTCGGGAACACGCTGAGGGTGAAGACAACAGGCGTCCTCGCAGCGGCTTATTGCTGGACGGTGCAGAACAGGCAGGTGTGCAGATCTGCACAAACGGCCTGCGGTGCGGGCATCACACGGATACACACACCTCACACGTGGCGGGAGGGGACGAAACACTCATGTCGACCCAGGAAGCTGGGAGCTGCGGGAACTTCTGCAGGTTCATTCAAAATTATTTTTAGTGAAAGTTTTAAAAAATCAGTAAATACAGTTCTTTACATTAAGACTAAAGGGAGACCATGATTCTACTGATCAATGCAGAAAAGGAATTAGTAGAACTCAATAGCTGCCTACAACTCACTAGAAAAGGAGCCCCGTGGTGGGGGCGCACAGCCCGGTCACAGGCAGCCCGTCCGGTGTGAGCTAGAGGCAGGCTGAGCTCAGGCTCACACGCGGGTCCCACTGCAAAGCTGGTGTCACCGCAGCTGCTGAGATTCGCAGCCTGCCCAATGCCAGGCAAAAGCCACCAAGCCTCAGGTAACCAGGTGGCAGTGTCTGGGCTGAAGGTTGGAAAAGGGGGACAGAGCCCCACAGGGCCAGACACCCTATTAATAGATAAGTGTAGCTCTTTAAGAATTAAGGGTTTTTCCCTGGCTGGCGTAGCTCAGTGGATTGAGCGCAGGCCTGTGAACCAGACAATCGCGGTTCAATTCCCAGTCAGGGCACATACCGGGGTTGCAGGCCGGTTCCCTGCAGGCCAGTTCCCAGCAGGGGATGTATGAAAGGCAACCATACATTGATGTTTCTCTCCCTCTCTCCTTCCCTTCCTCTCTAAAGATAAATAAATAAAATCTAAAAAAAAAAAAAAAGAATTAAGGTTTTTTTTTCATTTTGTTATCGTTGCTTTTTCCCCCCCTGGAGTGATACCAAGTCATTAGGACCAAAATACACGTTGCTTGGCCCTAACACGCTGAGCTGCTGGGCATTTTCTTTGGGCGAGGGGCATGGAGAAGTGTTGCGTGGTACTGCCCCCTGAACAAGGGCGTGGGGCCTCTGATTAGGGGGCGCCGGCCAGCGGGACCTCAGACCCAGAGAGACGTGGGGGGTTGCTGCCTGGCCCCCACCCCCCACCATGCCAGGGTCTTGGGAGGCCAAACAGTAATCTCCATCAGGCCCAAAGATCTACAAAACCAAACTAAGAGAACTGTGTGCACCCCCATGCTCACAGCAGCCGAGACACACGTAACCCCATCTGCGATGGACCAACGGATGACCTAACACGGCCCCTCCCCACCACAGATGGTCCCTCAGCCTTGACAAGAACGGACATTCTGATGCTCACTGCAGTACAGGTGGGCCTTGAGGTTGTGCTGTGTCTGACCCTGGAGTGAGATCCGTGGGGACAGAGTGGGGCTGAGGCTTCAGGTGCAAAGCAGCAGAGGTTCCGACCTGGGGAGACAAGGGAGCTTGGAGGGTGGGCAGGCTCTGCCCCCAGGCCCCGCCTTGCACCCGCCCAGCTTCCAGTGGTTGCAGCTGTGACTCCTTTATCTGACTTCCTGTTTCCTGTTCTTAGAGGTGCCTGTCCTTTGGGTTTGATCATTTTCTACGCTTTTTTTCCCCCCCAAAATGACAGTTCTGTGTTCTCTGCTTTTTTTATTCTGAGAGAGAGGGGAGGGAGGGAGGGAGGGAGAGAAACATCAACTGGATGCTTCTTGCGCATCTCTGACTGGGACTGCTGGCAATCCACGTGCCCGGACTGGAAACTGAACCAGCGACCTTGCTGTTTCTAGGCCTGCACTCAACCCCCTGAGCTCTGCCGGCCAGAGTTCTGCACCAGCTCCTTATCAGCCAGACGCCACAGACAGACTCCCGCTCTGGCTGCTGTGCACTCTCTGTATGGTCTTTGAAAGAGCGGAGCCTCCCAGTCGGGGAGTCTGATTTCTCTTGACCTCAGGAAGCCACTCCTCACAGAGCAGTGTCCTACCTCCTGCAGGGCCCCTGTCCCTGGGGGTCCCCTGCTGCAGCCCTCAGAAGATATGCCATGCTGACTGGCCCCCACCAGTGCAGGCTGTGGCTGTCCTACAGGCCTGGGTGGTGGGGCAGGGTGTCCCCTGGTGTCAAGCCTGCGCACCAGAGGACTGAGGCTACCTGGGGCTGGGGGCAGTGGGGTCACGTGGACCCTTGCGATAGAGGGGACAGGGAACCAGAGATGGCGACCTATGTCACCTGCCCACACCCAATTTCCGCGTGGTGAGGCGGCCAGACTTCAGACCCAGCGGGCAGGACTGTCACTCTGACGCCCGAAGCTCTGCTGCCCGTCCCTGCAGCCTTAGGACAAGCCTGCGCCCCGGGGGCCACTTTCCTCATCTGGGCCTCTCGGGCCAGAGGCTGCAGTCCTAGCACGGGCACTGGGGGTGACCAAGAGTATAATGGCTACGGATCAGTTTGAGAAGTGACAGCTCCATTTATTCACTTAGGTTCTTAACAATCAGGGTCACAAGGGCTGGTGGCCATCATGGACACCGGCACTCCACATGGCCCAGGGCACAGCAGAGGGACGGCTGCAGGGAGTCCAGGAGTGACCTCACAGAGGTGCAGGGTGCAGGTGGAGGATCAAGCCCCCTGTGTCCAGGGCCATAGCTGGAGCCAACAGGGAGTGACGGGACCCAGGGCAGCTGGAACAGTGGTGCTGAGGGCGTAGAGAGAGGCTTCGGGCCAGGACAGGGGGCACAGGCCTGGGGACTCTCTGTCCTGAGGACTGGCCCCAGGACAAGCTCAGGGATGTGCAGGGGAGGCCGAGGAGAGACCTTTCCAGCAGGAGGACAGTGGGCAGGAGGTCCTGGGGGTGGGAGCGGCCACAGGCCCCAGCTGGCCAGTGGTAGCTACAGGAGGCAGCCCTCCTACCGGCCCCTTTGCTGGCTCAGCAGCAGCTGGGCTTTGGGACGCGACCGTCCTGGGAAGAGGGGAGCCTGCAGAAGGGACGGCGCTGAGGCCGCCTGCGCCTCCTGGGGGGCCACTGTGGCAGCAGCTGAGGGCACACCCCCTGCACACAGACAGCTCTTTGTCAGGACCGAGCCCCGCCTGCCGAGCAACCTCAGGGACAAAGCCCCTCTGTCCACGGTGGCCTCCCCCTCACCCCATGCACCACCTCTCCCCCCGTTCCAGGTGCCCCCACACACATGCCAGGCGCAGGCGCAGCCCACGTGGCACAATGACAGCCAGGATGAGGGACAGAGAAGGCATCCAGGGCAATGCCCTCCCCCAGGGCCCTGACACCACCCTGTGCTGCAGGCCCCGCCCCGGCCAGGCGCCACTGCCAGGGTCTCCCTCCCACTCACGACCCCAGACAGCAACCTAAGAGTGTGGTGGAGGTGCAGCCAACAGCCTGGCCCCTGCAGGGTGGCCTCCACATTTACTTCCAAGTCCCCTCTCAACCCTGAAAGCCCGTGGCCACCTCACTGAACTTGCCATGACCTCCTGAGCAGGGAATGTCTGTGCAGCTCCGCTTGCTGTTGGCCTGGGGCCGAGCTCTGTCCAAAGTGGGGCTGAACCCAGGGCCCAGGGACTGGGATCCTGCTTCTACGTCAACCCTGCGCCTGCGGCCACTCAGCGTGGAATCTGCCTGTCTGAGGCTGGGCCAGGTCACAAGAGTTATCCTCAGCGTCCAGGCGGCAGGATCCAGATGAGGCTGGGCAGGGCTCCCGCCAGCCTGGCCAGCTGCTGCTGACACTGGGCCTGGAGCTGGCGCAGCATCTCTTCCAGGCAGGCCTCCTGGCTCTGCAGCACCCTGATCACCTGGGCAGCCTGCAGGCCCAGGCCCGCTGGCACCCCGGCCTCGGTCCTCACCAGCCGGTAGGGCCCATGGGCCCGGGCCAGGCCCCCACCTTGCTCCCAGGCCTGCTGCAGGGCCACCAGCTCCTGACCTACAGCTTCCTGTGCGGCCCGCTGGGCGACGGTCCACTCTGGGCTCTGGCCTCCAACCTACAATGGGAGAAGCAGTGACTTGGGAGCCGAGAGCAGCCACATCCAGCCCAGGACTCTGGCTTCAGGTCCCCTTGGCACTCGCTCAGCCCTGACAGTGGCCCCTACTGGCCCCACAGCCCCCACCCACACCCTGAGAGGGGCTTCCAGGCTAGACTCCTCAGCTCCCAGGGAGCAGAGGCCCACCCCACACCAGCTCAAAGGCCCAGCCTTGCCAGGCTCGAGTCCACCCTCACGGAGCCCTTGAACCCCAAGTAGCAGCCATGGGTCCCCAGGGACAGGGCGACAACCCTGCAGGACCTGAGCCCTCAGGGCACCAGCTGTGGGCCCACCTTGCTCACCAGGGTGAGGGTCTGGAAGCAAGGCTTGGTGGCTCCCTGCAGGCCAAGTCCCTCGGGGCCCATTCAGAGTCCAGAAGACCCGCCCCTAGGACAGCCACCCTCCACCCTCACAGCACTTCAGGGGAAACCACCCACCACTCACTGCTGAATGCAGGAGGGGGAACATGGGGTGGGATAGACTCGAGGGACACTGGACTGGGGGACACGGCCTACTGGGGTCCAATGGGGGATGGTGTAAGAAGCTTCAAACATCTGCAGGTAACCGCCCTGATCCTGAGCCCCATGGGTTCCCATTCCTGGCATAAAACCCCCTGCAGACATCAGCTGTCACCACCAGGGCAGGGAACAGACACGGACGGCAAGGAGACAGCAGGGTGGCTCCAGGCCCAGAAGAGACTCCCCTCTAGACTTAAAGGGAAAACCACACCCACAGGTTCAGGTGCTTCCGAGAAGGAAGCCAGGAGCCCAGACACTCGCCTGCCCACCAGCCAGTGAAACAGGCCATGTGGGTGGGAGCCGGCAGGGATGAGGGGCTTTGAGAGGCTGGGGAGGGGGCCTTCCCTGTGCCCCCTTTTCATGCACCCTTCTTTGTCAGATGAAGAGCCCCACTGTCGTCTCCAAACACCAGCCAGCAGCTGGGAGCCCTCACCTTGGCCTCCCAGGCTGCCCGCCGGGCCTCCACCGCCGCCCGCAGCTCCTCCTGCAGGGCCTGCAGCTGCTGCTCCAGCTCCTCAACCCCAAACTTGCGGGGCCTGGGCACAGACGAGGGCTGTGCGGCCTCCGGGGGGCAGGCTCCCAGGACCGTGTCCTGCAGAGGGAGACCCGAGTGAGGGTGGCACAGGCCGCACCACCGCACACACAGCCCAGCTCCTGACCCGCAGGAACAGAGGCCCAAGTCACACAGCCAGCTGGACAGCTAGTGTCACCCAGGCAGGCCTGGAAGCCAGAGGGCACAAAGGCCAGGCCCCTGAGAAGTGTGGGCCTCCCCAGGAACTGGCAGAGTGGGAGGGTCCACCGGATGTGTTGAAGGAGCCTCCAGACTCAGCGAGGCAGGCCTGGGTGCAAGGCTGGCTTTACACCAGGCTGAGGGGTGGCCTCCGGGCTGCTGTCAGGGCCAGGGAAGGGGGATGGGAGAGGGGAGGGGGCTGAGAGTCCTGACCATCCAGGGCCAGAAGACCACTTCCCGGCGCCGCCACTCCAGAGCGGCCTCCAGGCGTGCGTTCTCTCTCTCCAGCCTCCGCAGCAGCTGCAACACAAACCAGAGCCCAGGCTGAAGCAGAACTCCTAGGGCACCCAGACCCCAGAGCTGGGACTCGAGCCAGCACCCACCCCTCCCTCTGGCCACCGTACCCAGTCACCTTGGCACAGCCCTGGCACAGCCATCTCCCTGCGCCACAAAGCAGCCCCACCTCCGCACACAACCAGGCCTCCAAGCAGGCCTGTGGTCCCCCACACCAGCCCCAACTGCAAGCCCCTCAGCAAGGTCAGTGGTCAGCCCAGGTACCCCAACATGGGACCTCTGTCCCACATCCCTCACTGACTAGGAGCTGCACCCTGGAGGCTGCTGGGCTCTGGGGGAGGGGAACCCCAAGCCAGGGCAGAGGCTGTGTAGTGACCAGGGAAGTGGTGGAGGCCCCCGACCCCCTTGAAGCCCTTAGCCACTACAGCCCTGCAGCATCCCTGCCCAGCACACACGGCTGGTGCCCACAGACCCTGAGCGCCAAGGGCCTAGTGCCTGTGGACACTGCAGGAGCACATGGGCAGCTGGGTGGCCCAGAGCTGACTGATCGGTCACCACACTCTGCACTTCCGGCCCCTGCAGAGTGGCCAGTGGCAATGACCACCTGAGGGCCCACCACGAGCTGGGGAGGGGCAGTCTAGTCCCCGTCCCCCTGGGCACCCCAGGGCCGGGCACCTGCTGTGGCTCCTTTCTGAACACGCAGCCCGGTACTGGCCATAGGCATGGCTCCTTCCAGAAGACGGAGGTACCAGGCCCTCTAGAAACCTAGGAGCGTGTTCTGGGGCCAGGACGAGTGTCCAGAACATGGCAGCCACCCTGTGGGCCAAACACAAGCTTGGCCAGGCCACCATCCACAGGGGACCAGTGCACTCGTCCCTACCCTACTGCATCAGTGTGACCCAGGGGAGGGCCCCTGCTCTCCCTCCGATGCCCGGCCCCACAGACAACCCAGATGATGGCCAGGCAGCCCCGCACCTGCTGCTACAGCTGGAACCTGATCAGGAGGCCAGATGGGGGTGGCCTCAAATAGCTGGCGGAGGGCCCAGCCCAGCACATTGCCGGTGCAAGTGGAGGCAGGCCTGCGGCAAGAACCAGACTGCAGCCTGGGGGACCCTCAGCCTGGGAGGGCTGAGACAGGCAGAGCATGCAGCCCACGTGCTCACACCAGTTACATGTGTGCACACACACACACACACACACACACATGTGCACATGCACACTGGCCAAGAACAGTCCCACAGGCCATGGGAAAGGGGGACAGGCAGGCACTGTGGAGGGGAAGGCCACAGTCCCCTCCCCCTGAGGGCTGGGGCAGGGTGGGGTCTTGATGTATGAGGAAAGTTTCAGCCAGCCACCACGGATCATTCCAGAAGTCTTTGGAAGCCTTCCCAGGATTGTAGGCCCTGTGCATGGGTGGCCCAGGCTCCCACCAATTCCCCATCTGGAAGCCAAGGAAGGAAGCCTACCACAGTCTCTGTCAACCTGGCCACCCTGTCCGTGGCCCTGAAGCACCAACAGGCCAAGTCTCCAGGAGGAGGGGGAGCTGCCTGCATCCAATCCACCCCCGGCCCCGGGAACCAGGGAGTGGGGATCAGGCAGTACCAAGCTGGAGCTGGTGCAGCATTTGCTCTGCTAACGTGGGGACTGGGACAGCAAGCCAGGACCTCACAAAGTCACCCTTAAAAGGGACAGAACCAAGAGCACCTCAGACACCTAGATGCTGCCTCAGCATCTCCAGGGCCCAGACAGCCCTTCCCCACCCTGGTAGGGCCCAAAGAAGTGTCAGCCAGGGACACAGGTTCAGAGGGCATCCCTGCCTGGGCACCTGACCCCACAACAAAAGGCAGACCCCCTCTGAACACACAGCTCAGGAGCTGGGGCCCACTGGGCCAGGAAGCAGGGGACACAGTGGCCTCAGCACGCCTCCCAGGCCAGGCAGTACTAGCCTCACAGTCTGTACGGCCCAGAGCCCAGCCCTCAAGGGACAGCAGCCCATCACCAGCTGACACCTGCAGGAGCTGGAACACTGCAGTGCTCGTCCTCAATCCCACCACCACCCTTGGCCCTGCCCGTGCAGGCCACCTACGCACATAGCAGCCAGTCCGCACTGCTGAGGTGCCAGGCGGTCTGGGGGCCGGAGAGGCCTCTGGACGTGTGCCTGTCCCCCATACCAGCAAGGTGCTGGGCTTGGCAAACAGAAAGGGTGCAAACCCAGGCCCTCCCTTGGCCCCTCCTACCTCAGCCAACCAGCCCTCACCTGCCAGCCACTCTCAGGGTCCCTGAGCAGCTCCGTCTCGGCAACAGACAGGTGGCCCAGGCAGCGGTCACTGTGGCAGCCTCGAGTGAACCAGTGGATCTAAAAGGGGCAGCACGGAGCTGGGCTGAGCCAGGGCCTTCAGAGTCGCCTTACAGACGAGGGCACAGGTGCAGAGAGACACAGCTGGCCACAGCAGTCCAGGGCAGGACGGCCCTCAGCCCCTGGGCAGTCCCCCCCATGGCCACCCATCCCACCTAGCTCCGGGGGCACAATGGGGGTAGAGAGGGGTGCCCCTGCTTCCTTCCCCCCTCAGCCCATCAAGTGCCAGGACCATGGTCTGTTGAGAGAAACAGCCTGTGGATAAGCTCAGCAGTCCAGCAGGGCCAGCAGTGGAATGCAGAGCAACCTGCCTGGGCCTGGGGGGCAGAGAGGGCTCCCCAGCCAGGTAAGCCTGCAGGTAGCAAGCAGGTTAACATGTGGTATGTCCCAAGCAGCAGGAGCTGAGGCCAGGAAAGAGGAAATGAGTTCTAGGAGAGACCAGCCAAGCAGAAGACCCTCTGCCAGAGGTGGTGATGCGGGCTGGAGGGGTCTGGGGACCAAGGAGCCCTGCACCAAAAGGAGCCCCAGGCCACCTGCCCAGGCACCTCTTGGCCCAGACCTTGCAATGGGCCTGTGGGGGAACACCTGCACCTGCCAACTGAGTCCTATCAGCTCTCAGAACACACAGGAGCTGCCCACTGCTCACCAGCCGGCACCCAGGGCGCAATGAGAGGATACAGTGCCCAGGCAGTGACTCCTCCAAGGCCTGGACCCTGTTCCATTGCTCAGTGACACAGAACCTGAGGCCTATAGAGACTTCTGGGGTCAGGAAGGTCAAGCCCACAGGTGATGCCCAGCTCCACCTGCCCCAGGCCCCCTCCTGGGCCACCTGGAGCCCTGGGCTCAGGCTCCTCGCCATCTCAGGGCAATGCCCAGCCAGTCACCCCCAGCCAGGCCTGGGAGGCCTATGTCCAGCCAAAGGCCAAGGCCACAGCTCTGGTTGGACAGGCCACAGGCAGCAAGCAGCAGCCTGACAGCTAGGAGCTAGGAGAGCAGCTGCCGCTGGACGGAGAGTTCTCAAGGGCACTACCTTGCCCAGGAGGGCACACTGCTCCTGCTGACTGGCCATCAGGGTTCGCCACCGGAACCGCAGCTTTCCCATCAGCCACTGCAGGTGGCGGACGTCCAGGGGGCCATCTGCTTCCGCTCCTGGTGCAGGCAGGCCTGGGCTGGCCAGGATGTCACACTGGAGAGGGAGCGAGGGTCAGGCCCTGCTCCCACTCATGGCAGAGACCCCAAAATGTAAAGGAGAAGGGAGGCTGCTGAGAGACGGAGCCATGGGGTCCTGAGGGCACCAGGGGAAGGGTGAGGACAGAGCTGTGAGCATACCCCACTGCTTACCCAGAAGGACAAGCAGGGAGAGCAGGGGCTAGGGCGCCGGACAGGGAGGCCAGTGGAAGCCCAGCCTCCATGCCCTCCCTGGGGCCGCAGGATGACAACGCTGACCCCCACAGCACTGTCCTGAGGGTGGCCAGGCCTGTCCTGGCAGGTCTGGCAGGCCGTGCCCAAGGTCTCAGGTCCAAGGCTGGGATTGGCCCACTCCCACCGCACACTCACCTCACACACAGGCATCTCGTCACCCAGGTGCACGCGGGTCTGGGCCACCAGCCGCTCGGGCAGAGGCTCCCGGGCCAGAAGCCAGGAAAGAGCCAGGAGCAGCTCCCGGCTGCCCCGGGAGCCGTCCTCGGGGAGCTGAGTGAGTCCCTGCCGGGGGTAGCCTTGGGAGAGCAGCTCTGACTTCACCCAGCGGGCCTGGGCCTCTGGGAGTAAGAGAAGGGCAGCTCAGGGGACTACCTACTGGAAGGGACAGCACCCAGACCCCTAAGGGACCCCCGCCACGACCCCCCAAAAAAGGCCCTTAGGGCGTTGGGGCGTAACCAGGTTGAAGAGGTGGGCGGGGTTTACGAGGTGGGAGGAGCTAGAGCATACGGGGGGCGGGACTTACTGTGGCCGCTGGGCTGACCGGAAGGGCTTTCGGAGGCGGACGGGACTAGAGCCTACCTGGAGGGAACCCGGAAGCAGGTCCTACTGGGGCGGGGCTTACATGGATAGGCGTGGCCAGGCGGAGGATGTTAAGGAGGGACTGGGGAGACCAGAGTGGGTGGGGCCAGAGATTTGAGTATCACACAGAGGCCACGGGCGCGAGGCTTACCCGGGGCGAGGGTGGCCGTGGAGCCGCCAGCCCGCAGCTGCGAGAGCACGCGGAAGAGCAGCTGCCAGAGCGCGGGGGCCTGAGGGTAAAAGAGGGAGGCCGTCAGCAGGCCCCGCTCCTCCCTGCGGGGCCCCAGCGGACCTAGACGCCTGCCCTGGGCGCCTCACCGCCTCCGGAAGGTCGAACTTGGCGCGGCGAAATGTCTCGGGGCTGGGACCGGCGGGCAGCGTCCGACTCAGCGCGGCGATGGCCTCGGGCAAGGCCCTTGCCGCATCCGCCCTGTCCACCCGGGGCCGCCGCCGCCCCATATAGCCGGCAGCCGTGACCCGCCTCACTCGATCGCCCAGCAACGATGAGTAACCCCCAACCCCGTCCTATTCCCGCGCCAGTGCTACGGCTACTGCTTCCGCGCTTTCTCAGCTTGGATTGGGCCACGCCCCCTACCCCGGCCCAATGAGCGGCGCCTTGGGCGAGTGAGTGCAGTCTGACTTGTCCGCTGCGGAGGCACTTCCGGCCTAGTGGGGACCAATGGCGGTAGTAGTTCCGACGCGGAGTCTGCTCCGTGCTGACCAATTGGGGCGACATTTGACACCAAAGACTCCGCCAATCAAAGCATTACCCCTTGCATCCAACGGTAGCCTAGCCACTGCTGGAAGGTCTGCGCCCGCGCTCGGGACCCCTGCATCCGGGAGGTTCGCGCAAGTGGGCACCACGGACCCACCCCGCCAGCGACCCTCCACCTCCGCGATGTCCTCTCCGGCCTGGCCGCCAGGGGTCGCCCGGACGCTGCCGAACACACCAGGAGTGGGACGCGGGGGCCAGCGCCGAGGCGCCGGGGACGGCCCGGGACAGCTCAGCCCCACCGCCCGCGGGCGAGAGGTCCCTCTGGGAAGGCCAGCGACTCTCCTCACTATAACCTACATGTACAAACTTCCCGGGCCCGGTCAATTCTCTGTACTGCCAGCCGGCCCAGCCTGCCTCTGTCTAGCACCCATAGTCTCTCCGTCCCAACATTAGAGACAAGTCTTTGAAGGAACATATGTAAAGGGTTTGGAGGCTCTTTCAGAGTTAGACACAGGTTTACCCTTACCCTACAGTGCCAGTATCGGAACGCACGAGAACTGCGTTCACATACACGGAAGTGCACAGCAGCTTTGTTCATGGCAGCCCAAAACGAAACAATGCCGGCTTAGCAGTAAACCCATCCAGGGGGCGGTGGTCAGCAGCAGCCACGCACCACTGCCACGTGCTGCTGCATGGCTGCAGCTCAGACAGGGAAGAAGCTGGTCTGTGCACTGTATCTAGAAGATGTCCAGAAAAGCCGTCTGTAGATGCAGAAAGCAGATTCTGTGGCCTGGAAAGAGTCTGGGATGGGGACGAGGGGACTTATGTGAGTGCACAGAGCAGTCTAGAACTGTCCTGTAGCAGCAGAAGTGCGTGAACTTGTTGCAGTACTTAAATGTGCATAGGTGAAGTTTATGGAATGTAAATTATACCTCGAAGCTATAAAGAAGACAGAGTGTGGGAGGAGGAGTGGAAGGGAGAGAGAAAAGGAAGTCAGTCCTGGACCCCAACCTCCCCCAGCCCTAGCCAAGCCCACAAGAAATCAGTCACACCGGACCCCAGCTTCCTCCCAGTCCTCACCTTTGCTCACCTGCCTCTCTGTCAGGCACAGCCAGCTCCTCATCCATGTGTCCCCCATAACCAACCTCTTCCCCCAGCCTCCACTGCAGGTACCCCTGGATCCCCTGCTCCAGCACCCCCACGTCGAGTAGGCATCCCTGGTGTGCACGTCCTCCTCTGCGGCGCAGGGGCAGCTCCCAGTGGCACACGCCCTCACCAACACAGGGGTGTTGCTGTCTGTTCCTCCAGCCCCCACTACCAGTCCCCTCCCACGTCCACCTTGGGCTCCGGCTAGGAAGCACAGGCCTCCATTCTGGCCCTGCCTTCTGGCTGCCCAAAAGCCCAAAGGTCTTTCTGGCCACTCTCCTGTTGCCTTCAGACTAAAACCACTTTCCTTAGCTCACCCAATGGCTCCCAATGTTGGGTCTGGAACCCTGTCCTGGCCTTTTCACCCTCTGGGCCTTACCTCTGGAGTGCTTTCCTCCCCACCTGAGGCCTGGGCAGACCCACTCCTCCTGCAGGCCACCTCTCTTCTCATTCACCCCAAATCACCCCCTGCTCCCAGGTTGGGAGGGCCTCTGCTGCCCTTCATGCCGTCTGTCCCGGCAGCTCAGAGCAGCTTTCCTATGCACTCACTGTGTCCCCGGGCCCAGCCCACCACTGTGCACAGAGAACCCCAGCCTTACTGTAGCATCTCTGCACCCTCTTCCCTGCCCTCCCCCATCTGTACTGGAAGCACTCCAGCTCCCACCTCATGGGACTCAGTGAGTCCCCATCCTTCTCTCACACAGAGCCAACACTACTAAAGGGCAGCCAACACTACACGCTGCCCTTTAGCCTCCCACAGCCTGCCCAGCCCAGGCCTGCAGAGCCCCCATGAAAGCCCTGGGGCGGGGCCAAGACCACATGCCAAGCTGAGATGACCCCTCTTTGCTCCTTAGGTCAGCAGAGAGCTGGGAGGGTGATGTCTACCAGGCCACAGTGCAAGCGGCCAGTGGGGGACATGAGAAGGGCTCAGAAGGTGGCCGACTCTGCAGCTGCTGCCCAAAGTGTCACAGGAGTTTCAGGAAGCCCCCCGCATCTCCACACAGCCTGTCCTCAAATGCCCCATTTAGGCAGCTGGCCACTGAGTAGTCCCTGGGCCCAGGGTAGGGTCAAGTAAGAGGCAGTGGTGTCAGGCGATGCTCCTGCTGAAGCACAGCTGGCCAGGTCAGTGGGATGGGCTGAGGACGGGGCCTAAGTTGGAGCAGCAGGATGTGGGGAGGGCAGTGGAAGGCTTCCCGCCACAACTCCCCCAGAGCTCAAAAACGGAACCAACGTGAGTTCAGCTGATTCACCCTGTGGCTGACCCTCCAGCTCCTGCCCTTGTGACCTAGTGTTCCCACTAACCCGTGGGTCTTCCCCTTGCCCAACAGGGCTGGGGCACCTTTGGGCCCAGGAGCTGGAGAGCTGAGTTTGCATGGGGCTGTCCAGGGTAGCCAGGACACTTCCATGCAGAGGGGGCTGCAGCCTGTGATGGGCCCCCAGGGCATAGGGTCTGACCTCGGGCCCCCACTGCAGCTTCCCTCAACCTCTCCCCAGCAACAGGCACACACAGGCAGGTCTTCCCAGCATTGGGTTTATTGAGGGCATGAGGGGCTACAGGGGAGCCCCAAGTGCCTGGAGTTAAGGCTGGGCATCAGCCTGGAGGGGCAGTGGTCCCGCAGGCCAGGGATGGGGTCGCCACAACCTGCACAAAGAGACAGGGACAGAAGTAAGTGCAGGACTCCCTTGGGACAAGTGGGGGAAGCCGGGCTAGGGGTCAGGGTCGGAGAGGGGTGTACCTAGGTCTACTTGAAAGTGTGACTCTCAGCTCCACCTCGCCCAAAGCCTACAGAGAAAATGGTGGGTAGATTAGGGGTGGCCAAGGCCAGCGGGAGGTTGAGCTGGGCTGTGGGGAGGGAACATACCTTTGGGCCCGAACATGGCGGCATAGCAGGGATGGTTGCAGTAGGGCTTGCCTTCATGCTGCAGAGGGAGAGGCTGTAAGGGGCTGTCCCCCCACCCTGCCCCTGCTGCCCCCCAGGCCCTCCCCTACCTCAGCATGGCTCCCCGAGGTCAGCGTCTTCCCACACTTCTCACACTTCAGACATGGCCGGTGCCAGTCCTTCCCCAGGGACGTCACCCGCTCGGCTGCAGACATACAGACAGGCCCTTACGAGGCATTGCTCTGGGGACACAGCGCACATCCACCCACCCACCCACAAACCTTTTCCAGTCACCTCCGCCCAGGGCCTTCCCACCCATGTCTGATGGCCCAACCACAGTCTCAGATGGCCTTTGTACCTCCAGTCCCCTGGCTCAATTCTACCAAATAAACGGGAGGGGACCCTAGCCCTGGGCTGAGGGCTGGGGTCAGGATCAGGAGAGCCTGGCTACCAAATTAAGTCCTCGAGGCTCTGCACCCGTCACTGGGGCGGGGTGCGTGGACTTCCCACTTCCTCCTGCATCTCCTGTGGGTGGGACCCCGGGCTCGGGGCAGGAAGGCGGTGCCCTGGAGCAAAGCTCGCCTGGGATAGCGCCCTGGGTACCGGTTTCCGCGTCTGTTTTCACTTAGCGCTGGGAGGGGCGGCCGGAGCCCTGCGGTCTTTCCTGCCCAGCGGGGTCCCCGCCCAGGGCGCGCCCGGGAGGAGGAGGCGATAGAGACCGAGACCCACAGACACACGGAGACCCGGAGACGGAAAGCCCATCCAACGCAGCGGTTCCCAACCCGCACATCCATGGTCACGTGCAGGGCTGAACTTTCTACTCCCGCAGCAGTTTCCTGGGGTCCCCAGGCGCCCCCACCCAGAGCAAACTCCGCCAGGTCGCCCCGGGGCTCGGAGCACCGCGGCGGTTCGGTCAGGAATGGGCCGGAGTGCGCTCACCAAAGTACACCTCCTTGTCACACTTGGGGCACTTGGGCATAGCGGCGCTGGGTCTGTACGGACGGCCGGGCGGGAACAGACAGCAGCGGTGGACTGGGTGGAACCCGCCGGGTGCGCGCCTTTCAGGGAAGCTGGGACCCCGCCTCTTAGAGGCCCGCCCCCCGCCCCCCCCCCATTCTGACACTTGACCCGAGGACCTCGGTTCCAGATCAGGAGATCGAGAATGGCCATCTGGGGTTCACCCTCGCTTCAGGGCAGGCCCTGGGGCTGGCCGACCACTAAGTGGAGGCTGGGGGTGCGCTGGGGACTCGTGGGGACTCACTGAAGGGCGGGGCTGCTCAGGCGGCTGCAGTCCCACCCATCGCCCAGGGCTGTGGAGCACCCGGGTGCAGGATCTGCAGAAGTCTCCCCAGGAGCAGGAACGTGCACCCTACTCCCAGGCCTTGCGCCCCCCCACATGCTGGAGCCCCCAAGGAGACAGGCTGGAGTGGGGGGAAGGGACAGCTCACCTCTAAAATGCAAACAGATGCAAACAGCCTGAGACACACGCCCACACACTTTGACCAGGCACTCCCCTGGGTATGGGATGGGGTTAGGGTTAGGGTAAGTCTCAGCCTAGTAACCCCCCAAGAATTCCCCTCAGGCCTTCACATGAGGGACATCCCAGCCTCTGTGAGCCCCCCAACCCCCACACCTCTGGGAAATCCATCGGACCACGTGGGAATGTCCCCAGGGCCGTGAGGAACTGGAGATGGGTCGCCGCCCCCTCACTTTTCGGGACAGCACTGACTGGAGTCTCTGCGGGGATGGTGGGGAGCCGCGCCCCCGCTGTTCCCAGAGGCGGGCTCCTTATCTCTGGGGAGGCTCCTATGGTGCAGTGCGGTCCAAGTTCACTGCCCAGGACAGCATCTGGCTCACGCCTCCTCGTGCCAGGCAGAGACCTTGGGACCCACCCACCTTGGGAATGGGGTGGACCCGGGGGCTGGGCTGTGGGGTCCCGAGCCATCTTTCTACTGCCAGCAGGAGAGTGCAGACTGCAGACAGTGGAAGAGCCCTCCCCTCCCCCCACCCCCCAGGGAGTCTGGGCTCTAACCCTCCGCCCTCCTAGTCGCCTCCTCCCTCCTAGTCGCGGTCACTCAGCCCCTCCCTCTCTGTGCTGGGAGCAGGGGCTGCTCCACCTCCACCCCAGTGCCACACCCGGTTCTGTGGCCTCAGCGGCACCTAAGCATCAGCCCTCCCTCCTGCCCCCCTGTCCACAGTCCCTCCCTCCAGCCGCCAGGGTTACTAGTGTTGTGCTCTCCCCTCTACACACCCATCTTGACAAACGCACCATCTCTGGGCCTGTCCAGGCCCGGTCCCCATGGAGTACCCCCCTCCCACAGGGCCCAGGGGCTCCTGGCCTCCCCACCCTCACACTCAGCCCTGGCAACACCCAGTGACCTCCCACCTTGCCCTTTCTGAAGCCCAGCTTCCCGTCCCCCTGCCCTGCAGCCTGGTCTGGGATATAGAGGGAACCCTGGGTGGCTCCATTTCAACGCCCCCACCAACCCCAGGAGGCTGGCTTGGGGGAGGGCAGGCACTCCCAGGTGCAAGGGTGACGGGCCACACCCCAGACACTGTGCCAGTTCAGGTGCCACACTGGACTCCAGGCCCCCACGGCCTGCTCCCCACAGCTCTCTAGTGACTCCCTCCGCCCTGAGACCCCCTCGCTGAGGCCACAGCCTGCCTCCCCTGGGTCTCTGCCACCCCAGGGTCCTGGGACCCTCAGTGGCTGGCTGCCCGCTGCCTCGAGAGGGAGGCGCATGCCCTGCCCTGGTGGAACCCCCAGTCTCCCTCCGTCACCCACACCAGCGTGCTCCCCCCTTGGAGTCTGGCACCCACAGTCACTTCTGGGCCACTGCCCTCCTGCTGGCACTGGAACACCTCACTGTGGTGCCTGCAGCAAAGGCCCCAGCCCCGCCCGACCCCACCACTGGCCCCCACTGCTCCGGGTCCTCCTGGCCTGAGCCGTAGGGCGGGCCCTGACTTCCCTGATCTCCTGGCTCAGAGCAAAAAGCAGGAGAGGGAAGGGGAGGCCAGTGGTGATGGGGGCAGGGCAGGGCCTTGGAGGGTTGGGGGTGGACGTGGAGTAGCTGCCACAGGGCGCACACACCACCTGCGGTCCATGGGAAGGTCTGCCCTGGTGGGTGTGCTGGGCAGAGGCCTGGAGCAGGGGGGTGGGCTGCTTCCAGAGGGTCCGTGAGTGACGAGGCCCACTCTCTCCCAGGCCTGTGTGTGTCCCTGGGCCTGCGGGCACACCCGGCGTGTAGAAGGCAGACATCTGGGTATCTGCATCTCTCGGGGTGTGCACAAGGCTCCTGTCAGGGCACTTGGTTTCCCATGCTGCTGTCCAGCCCACCCCCGTCCACTCTGGAGCTCAAGGCAGGCGGGGCTGGGAGCCATGGGTCCCCCCTCCCCCACCCTCCTTCACAAGAGGACTCCAACCTATGGGGAAGCCCCCAAGCCATGGAAAACAAAAAACCGGGTGAGAAAATCCTTCTGAGTCTTCCCTGCTGTTATTGCCCATTGCTATGGTTACAGTGTGGGTTTCGGAGGAGGATGCCAAGGGGGGCCAAGGGTCATAGGCCTCGCCCTCTGCTTGGTACACAGTAGGGTTTTTCCACTCAACTAACACACACTCCCTTGAACCCTCCCCCAGAGTTCCAGCCACAGACTGGGGTGCCTCTCCAACTCTCCTGAGCCCACCCCCTGTCCCACCTGCCCATGGGCTGGGCACCTCGTATCGGCTGCAGCTCCCCAGCAACTGGGGCCATGGACAACAGCTTCTGCCTGCCCCCAGGCTCTATGTCTAGGCGCCCCACCTGTGGCCCGACAGCGGCCCCAACAGCATCCCGGAGACCCGGACCCCACCAAGTGCAAGGCCTCCTGCTTCCATCAGCACACCTGGCCTAGGGTGCACTTGTAGGGGAGGGGTGCTGGCCTGCACCAGGTCTACCTGACTCAGGATGGCTGGGTCAGTTCGGGACCTTGTCCGCCCGGCCACCCCGACCCCACTCTAGTGGGCTGCTGTGGGCAACTCGCAGGAACAAATGAAAGACACACCAGACCTCCTCACAGACCACAGGGTGCACCCCAACCTTGTCCCCAGTGCTGCCAGCGCCAGCCGGCAGGCCCTGCCTGGGGTCTTGTCTGCAGCGGGAGGGACAGGGCGGCCAGAAGCAGCCAACTGCTTCCCCTGGACCGTTTCTGTGCCCAGAACACCCCACCTGCACCAGCACGAGGGTGCCTGGAGCCCTGAGACCAGGGCAGGCCAATGCAGGGTCCTGGGTGCGGAGCCAAGGCCGCCTCCCTTGGCTCACTCTTCCCTCTCACAGCCCCACAGCCTAACCCCCACCCAGGCTCGGCGGGGGCTCTGATGGGAACCAGGCAGAGCCCTGCCTCACGGATTTCCGGAGAGGCCTGCGTGCATCTTGCCTTGGCAGGGCTGGATCCCAGTGACCTCTGAGGAATCTGCCCCCAGGGGCCCCCGCCCCCCACCAGGGAGTTTCTGCTCCTGGGGCTCCCCCCTCGTAGACTGAGGCACATGCTCTGGCTTCTCCCCTGAAGCGCAAACCCATCACCCCACCCAGGCCTTCAGGTCAGCTCCTCTGTGCAGAGAAGCCAAGGGGTGTGTTCAGGGATAAGACCGTCCCCTCCTGGCTGGTGTCCCTGCTCTTGCACACAGGTGCCCTGAGCGTCAACATGTGCTCCAGGACCAGCAGACAACGGCTGAGCCTGGAGACCACAGTGGCTCCCTCCTCATACTCTAGCCTGCCTGCCCTTCCCCCAGGCCCAACAGCCTGAGGGACCCACAGACATTCCCAGGGCCTATTTTCAGCAGCTTGTCTCCCGGGAACCCCTGTCTGCCCCAAGGTCTGGTCCCAGGGTGGGCCTACTGGGCCCAAGGCTGCTCCTGGCCCTGAGGCCTGGGGGAAGGGACAGACTCTGCCCTTTCCGAGAAGGGCTCTGCCCACCCAGGCCCAGGTGGGAGGAAGGCTCCTCCCCTCCTCTCCAGGGTGCTAGGACAGCACAGCCTCATGCTCCCTCCCTCTGCCAACCAGTCTGGGGTCCACAGTCAGGCCAGATGGAGTTCTCTGGCCCCCCTGCCCCAGCCTCCCTGCAGTTGAGCAAGGTTCCAGGAATCTCAGCAACCTGGAGCCAAAGCCCAGGCAAAACTGCCTCGAATTCTAGCCTCACCAGCCCAGCTGCTGGGCCTGTTCATGGACCCCGCGCTCTCCCTGTCCCTGGGAAAATGTATTACGCACACCTGGGCCCCGGAGGCCTGCTAGTCCTCGACTTGCCCTGCCCTCAGGGTCGTTGGCACTCAGCCCATGGGCAGTGAGCTGGTGCTCTGACCCAGGGACTGGAGGGGGTCGGGACTCCCCTTCAGTCCTAGAAGATCAGGGAGGCGAGTCTGAGCCAGATGGGGTCCACAGGGAGCGTCCTGCAGGGCAGCAGCTGCAAGGAGGATCTGGGCCTCAGGGTGTGCAGTGGGGGCACCAGCCAGGGCCCCGCCGGCCCAGGTCACAGCTGGGGGCCAGCAGGGGCTTGGAGGGGCCAGGAGTCTTGGAAAGACTGGACCAATGGGAGATAGGGCCCGTTTGGAGAGTCTTGGGAGTTGGGTGTAGCCCTGAGGTTCTGGGGGGGGCGCACAGAGAGGTGATCAGATGGCATTCCAGGGCCGCCCCACTGGCTGGGCAGGGGAAGGAGGGATGTCCATCCCCCCCACCCCCCGCCTTGCATCTTAAGGAAGCGTCCGGGAAAGCACCTGGCTTGTTTGTTTGTGGGGGCGCTCCTGGAGCTGATGCCCCCGAGAGAGCCCCGACAGCACAGGGGTCACCGCGGCCCCCCTACCCTGGCGCCGGCGAAGCTGCGCTGAGACCGACAGTAGCGGCACCGCCCTGGTTTCCATAACAATCCCTAGGAAACAAACACGGCCGCGCGTCACCCTCCGCTCGCAGGAAATGGGGCGCGCCCTCCTCGGCCAGGCCCTGGGCGGGGCGGGGCCCGGTGGGGGGGGCGGGGCGCGCGCGCGCGCCGCGTTCTGCGGGGGGGCAGAGCCCGGCCAGTTCTCCGTGCAGGCGACCAGTGCACCCCTCACCCCCGTCAGGACGGGAGGGGCTTTCTACTAGGCCCTGCCCCTCCTGCGTGGGCGGCCGGGCGCGCCGCTCCCGACGTCTCCTTTCCACATAGTTTCCACTGGAGGCTCCCAGGGGAGGGGTCGGTCTCTGCCCTCCGCAACCCCACCCCCCAGAGGACAGGAATTTCCCATCCAACGCTGGGAGCCCGCCCCCGGGGCAGCGGCGGCGGCGCTCGGGGAAGAGTCTGAGTTCTCCCGTAGCGACCCCCATTCTGGGGTCTTCGGCCTGGCGGGGGTGGGGATGAGGAGAGGAGCGACCCCTCCTCTGAGTACGCGTCGGCGCTCCTGCCTGCCCAGGACTCTACCGGGGTTGGAGACTGGGGGCCCTGGGGTACCTGCTAGGCGCCCCCGCATGCCGGCCACATTGCCGAGTGGGAGGAGACGCTGGCTGCCCGGCTGGGCGGCCTGGCAGAGACAGACACCGGAGCCGGTCGCTCCGCCCCCCAGGGAAACGGTTGGCTGCTCGTCGGACAAAGGGCCCGGCGTCAGATTCAGCTGTGCCTGAGCGGATGGACTGGAGGGAGAGCGGGGGCCGGGCCAAAGCCCGGGGTGCAGGACACAGGAGGAGCCTACTGCTCCTCGGGCTGCAGGGAGGGTGAGGCGTCTGAAGATCCGGTGCTGGGGACGGGCCAAGACCGGGGAGGTGTGCGCGGTTTCGGCCCCTGGGCGCCGAGTGGAAGACAAGGTGCGCCCTCTGGCGGACAGTCCGGGAGCAATAGCTAAGGGAAGGCGGCCTCGAGGGAGGGGCCCCCAGGAGCTCCCAAGGGGTCCAGGTTGAAGGGGCGAGGCCTAGACATCGCGGGGAGGTCGTGGACCACTTCGTTATCACCACAACCGCAGACTCAGGGACGCTGGTTGGGCAGGAGCACCCGACAGTGGGCCACGCAAGGCCCACCCTCTATCTGCCCACCTTCTGTACCTGGACCACCATGTTGCCGGCCCTGCACACCAGAGCCCCAGACGTCTTGTCTCCATCCGGACCCTCTGGACGTCCAGGACCAGTCCTGGGCCGAAGGCCCACCTCATGCCGCCATCCTTCAGCTCCCACCCTGCAGAGTCCCCTCCTCCGGTCAGCAGGCATGCCCTCTGCCACAGTACCAAGGCTGAGCCCCTCAGGCACCCGTGGATTTCGGGTGGACCAGGAATCTCCTGACTCCAGTGCCCAGGGCTGGCATTCCCGAGTCCAGGCGCCAGAGGCGAATAACACCAGTTCTGCCCCTTTTTAGGACCCCACCCCCACCCCCTCGGCCCCCTCAGCTGCCCACCACCCTCCGGGTGGCACCCCAGCCTAAAACAGAGCCTTGCTCCCACCACCACCAACCTTGGGAATGAGAGCTGGCCCCCCCCCCACCCCCCAAGAGCAGGCCCAAGCATGTTGGGAAAACAAAGAGACCCCATCCCAGACTCACGTCCATCCCACAACCAGAGACACAGAGCTGCTTCCTGCAACGCTTTACTGACTGACAGCAAAAACCTGGTGAACCACTCAAGGGTTGGGCAGTGGGCGGGGGCTTGCAGGGCAGTGTGAGAAGGCAGAGGGCCCATCCAGGGACACCGGTGGGACACTGGTGTGTGAGGCTGTGGCCAGCTGTGGCCAGGGTAGCAAAGGGAGATAAATAACACTGGGGAGGTGTGAGGCAGCAGAAGAGGGGGAGTGGGCGGCCACCTCAGAGAGGGACCCAGCAGGGCCACAGACACACAGACATGGAGACACGTGGTGTCAGGGAGGCCCATGGACAACAGGGCGTAACAGTGATGGGACACGAAGGCAGACACACTGAGAGAGACGGGGATGGGCTGGTCTCTTTGAAGACGCCCCCGTGGCATCCTCTCCCCCAACAGGCAGGCCCTGGACTCCCAGGCAGGATGTGCTGAGGCTGGACAGGGCTGGGCAGCTGCTCACTCTCCCCACAGCGCCAAGCAGTGGGCCAGTGGGGGGCGGTGCCCGGGGCCTAGGGCTGAACTTTGCCCTCAGGGTCCCTGTCGTAGATGTAGCTGCCCACGGCTCCAGTATTCACTCCTGCGGAGAAAGGCAGCAGAAAGGGTAGGGGGGGCGGGGGGAGGGGTGGGGGCACCTGCTTCCCCACCCTCCTGGCCATACTCACCCTTGGGTCCGAAGAGTATGCCATAGCAAGGCTTGTGGCAGTACGGCTGGCCATCGTGCTGGGGGCAGGATGGGGGTGAGGTGGGGGTCCACAGACTCCCTGGTCCCCACTCCCCTGGTGGATTCCTTCTTGTCCACATGCCTGCCTCCCTCCCTGAGAGTTGACTCCAGGAGCCAGGACCAGCCCACTCACCTGGTGATGGGGGTTCAGCCTACACGAGGCACCCCCCCAGCCTCTACTCTGGCCACCAGGGGGCAGCCACCACCACCCTCCCTCCTCCAACCTGGGGAGCAGCATGTCCCCATCAAAGCCCTTTCCAGGCCCCTGGGTGCTGCCTGTCCCCCTGAGCAGCGCCCTCACCTCTGCATGCCCACCCGGAGTCAGTGTCTTCCCGCAGCGCTCACAGCGCAGGCATGGCCGGTGCCAGTCCTTGCCCAGAGACGTCACCTTCTCAGCTAGGAATGCAAAAAGAGCAATGGTAACGCCTAGGCCCTGGCAGGCACCTCTCCCAGCCTGGGGCTGGATGGGTCACTCACCAAAGTAGACCCTCTTGTTGCAGCGAGGACACATGTTGGGTTCCCCGGTGAACGTGGTGACACTGGAGGCTGGGGTCAGAGGTGGAGAGGGGTCAGGACGGCCAAGGGGCTCCCACACCACCCCCTGACACACAGAGCCCAGCCCACCTTTGCTGGGCCCCTTTGGGGGGCCACTCGCCTTCCGATCCTCAGTTCGGGCCACAGGGACTTCAATGGGGCCAGTGACCTGCGGTCCCTCGGAGGAAGGCTTCTCGTAGATGTAGGAGCCGGCACCTCCAATGTTCACGCCTGCAGGGTGGCAGGCGCTGTCGGGTGGGTAGCCAGCAGCCCGGCCCACACCCAGGCCTCGTCCCTCACCCTGCTTCTCAGAAAATGGTCCTCCACAGCCCATTCTATGGAGTCAGGGCCCTGCTGCCAAGGGCACCATGGGCTGAGGTGCAGTTCTGGGAAGGGACTGGAGAAAAAGGGTCGGGGCACCCCCAGGGCCCACCCCTCCCTGGCAACCAGGGCAGATCAGGCTGAGGGGCCAGCCCCAAGCTCACCTTTGGGTCCAAACAGTGTGGCATAGCAGGGCTTGTGGCAGAACGGTTTCCCATCATGCTAGACAGAAGGGCACAAGGCGGGGGGGGGGGGTGAGGGCTAGCGCTGAGCTGTCTGGACCCCCTCCCTGCCTGAGGGTGGGGGTGCCATGCAGCCCCCAGCCCAGCCCAGCCCAGCCCAGGAGGAAGGCTCACCTCAGCGTGGCCACCAGGCGTCAGTGTCTTGCTGCATCGCTCACACTTGAGACAGAACTTGTGCCAGTCCTTGCCCAGGGAGCTCACCTTCTCAGCTGGGGGCGGGAAGGGACCTCAGGGCCAGCCATGCACCCTTCCTGCTCCGCAGGGGTCCCACTGGCCCTCTGGTCTCAGCCACCCACACTGCCCTGGGGACAGCACCTCCCCTACCCTTCCTCTCCTACATAGGGTCTCCCTCATCCATGTCCCTGAGTCGTCCCAGAGCCCTAAGCCAGATTCCCATGGAGCCAGCCGAGGCCCCTGCTTAGGGGAGGCCAGTCTCCATCCCCCAGTGGGAACCCAAGGGACAGGACGCCTGCCTGTCTACACTTGGCACTGAGAGCCCCCACCCCCTCCCTGCCTCCAGCTGCTGCTTTGGAGCCCAAGGTCTGGGACCAGCTGCTGAGGGTCGGGTGGAGTGTGCCCTGCACCCCCCACCCTCTGCCACGGTGCTGCTTTGCCACTTTCCAACGGAGGGAAGTGGGGGGGAACTCCCCAGGGCACACAGCAGGAAAAGGGTGGAGGAGAGGGCAGGAAGAAAGGCCGGAAACCAGCCGGAATTCCGGGAAAGGGCCTGACCAGCGGCATCGGCAGTGGAGGGACAGACCAGCTGGGCCCTGCCACCTGGACGGAATCTGGCCAAGGACTAGCAGATCCCCTCACACAGAGGTGGTTGTCTGGGCCAGGTCTTTCCGATGGCCCGGCAGCCTGGGAGGGAGCCCCCTCCTCCTCCATGCCAGAGCGTGTTGGGGGGGAGGTGCTCAGCTAGGCTCTAGGGTGTGGCCACTCAGGGGCAGGGGAGTGACCCTTAGACCCAGCGGGCGGGTCAGCAGCCACACATTGCTGGCAGAGTGGGGAAGAGAGAATTCACTGGGTCTAATGGCTTGGAGGGGAGCCGGTACCCCACCCAGCTGCACCAGTGTTGGGGACAAATGCACAGTATCCTCAGATCACTCTGGATGCCCTGGCCCGGTTCCACTCTGTCCACTCTGCTTCCACACAGGTGCTGGCGTGCAGCCTGGCTGGGGAGCGGGCAGGGTCCCAGCCCCCAGGCCCCGCTCTGCACCAGAGCCTCTGGCTAGGACAGAAGCCAGCAGGTCTGAGCACCTTTGTTTTCTGTGCGGAGCCCACAGCCGCCCCAGCTGGCAGAGCACTTGTCCTGGCTGTCTGTGCACAGGGCCATATGCCCAGCCAGAGGGCACCGAGCTGGCCTAGCTGGGGGCAAAGTCGTGGGCAGCAGGGCAGGCAGGAGGGTCTGGGGGCTGTCCCTAACCTTGAGCCTCAGAGGCAGGAGCCCTCTCTGGGATGGGGACAGAGGGCTGGGGGGCCGGAGGCACTCCTGAGAGGCAGCCGGAAGCCCCTGGGCTGCCCGCCAGACCAGAAGCACTCCAGGCCAAATCCGGTCCCTCCCCTCTGGGAACAGCAAACAACCGTTGGCCTCCTCCTCCTCTGGCCGGCAGCGTCGGAGGTCAGCGTCAGCAGGGAAGCCAAGTAGCTTCCTTCACATCTGCCCAACTCCATCCTGGACCCTCACCAGGGAAGGGTCCCCTGTTTATCTCCACCTTTCTGGCCGTCCTCCCTTCTGGCTCTGCCTTCCCTCTGTGCAGGCTTTGGTGGGAGGGTCGGTAGGCAGGCATTTGCTGCCCTGGCTAAGTCGGGGTGAGGACCAGCCAGGAGGAGTGAGAGCAGGTGAGCAAGCCAGTCTGTGGGGAGCGCCAAGAAACCCCGCCTTCCCAGGGAAGGCGCCCTCTGGCCTTGAGGAGGGGTCCTGGCCACCCGGACTCCAGTACCCTCTTATGTTCATGGGGACTCGCTTGTTACCCCACCCCACCCGTGGGAAAGTCCTGGGGCACCAAAGAAGGAAGCACGTTGGGACACGCGGGAGGTGGAAGCCAAGGTCGCCCCCGCGTGGACCGAGTCCAGTCAGACTCCAGATCTGTCCTGGCCCGGCGTGGCCAGAGGTCGGGGTGCGGGTTCAGGGTCACTTGGGGCCACAAAGGCCCGGACATGTGTTCACAGGTAGGAGAAACGGGGGTACTCGGGAAAGTCAGGAGCGCGCGGGAGACGCTCGGAGCGCGCGACCGCACCCGACCCCGCCCCGATCCCGCCCGGATCGGCACCACCGCTCGAAGGACCTCGACGCGCCCGCGAACCCAAAATGCTCCCCCAACCCAGCCTCAATCCGAGGAACCACGAGCTCCCGCGCCGCCCCCACCTCGTGGCAACTCCACCCTCGGACCGCACCCGAAAGGGCCGCGCGGCGCACCGAGTTGGGGCCGCGCATCCCGGGGCGGCGCCGGGTGCACGCCGCGTTCCGCGGAATTGCGTGAGTCTGCGGCCAGGGGCTGACCGCGAAGGGCGGTGGGGTGCTGGCCGGGTCCGGACACTCACCAAAGTACACAGTCTTGTCACACTTGGGACACTTGGAGGCCATGGTCGTCGGTGCGCCCGGTTGCTCGCGTCCTCCGCCCGCGCCCTTCTCCGCGTCGCCGCCGCCTGGTCTGCCCCGCCCGCCGGGCTGTCCGCGCGCTCATTGGCTCTGTGGCCGGGGCGGGGCGTCCGGATCCCTCCCTCCGGGTCCCACAGCCTGGAGAGGGGGCATCGCCTAGGCGCGGGAGCACCTGCCGGGAGGGCGGGGGGCAGCGAGACCTGCCTGGCGCCCCTAAGCCCCAAGCGCTAAGCGGTCTCTGCCTGGCCTGGCCGCGCCTTGCCTATTTCCATGGCAACGTCGGGGCAGCTGGCCGGGACCCCGAGGCGTGGAGTGCGCAGTCCCCTCGGTGCCGGGGAGCCCTGGCCAGCGGGGCCTGTGCTCGGAGGGGCGTCCCCTGGACAAGCAACACTGACGCCCCGACGGCAGGCCCGCCCGCCGCGCCGGGCGCCGGCGCCCAGGCTCCCCAGAGGACCCCGCCCCCACCCTGTCGCGCGCCCCTCTTCCCTTTGTTGCTCGGTTTCCAGGGCAACGGCCGCGAGGCGGGATCCGAGCTGGATTCCTGGCGGGCTCGGCCACCTAGCCCAGCCCGGTCCCGCCCTCGCCCCTCGCCCCGCAAAGTCCGAGGGGCCGAAGGCTCAGTGGGTGCAGGGCAGGGCGTCTGCCACTTCCAAAAACAACGCCAGAGAAGAGGCGGGGGAGGGGGCGACCAGCCGCTAGACGAGCGCGGCTTTGCCGGGTGCTGATGGCGTCTTCCGGGGCTCTGCCCTCCAGGGGCGGAAGGGACAAAGGAGAGAAGGGGGAAGAGATGGAGGCTCGGGGAGTGAGTGTGCGTGTCCCCAACTCCTCAGGGCCGGCGCATCCTCTTCTGGACCCAGTGCAGGGCCCAGCGCCTCCCACCTCCACCCTCTTGGGCCCAAGGTGCCCCCAGTGGGAGGCAGGAGAGCTGGGGCTCTGCACACCCCCACCCCCGCACCCTCCACAGGGGTCTGCCTGACCACTCCCATCCTCCCTGCCTCCCAGGGGGCCTGCAGAGCCCAACCTTGTCCCAGCGCCCACCCCCACCCACCCTGTGGCACCTGGAGCACCCTCTCGCCTCCTCTCTGGGGTTTTGGTTCCCACAGGCCGTCTGGCCTCCAGCCCCAGCTCAGCCTCAACTGTCAGATGGACAGACTCAGATGACCAGGACCCGCACCCACTCTCCCAAGTGGTTGAGGCTGTATGCCCACCCCCTTCTCTTCTGCTTGGTGCACCTGCCTGGCCAGGGGAGTCAGAGGACCTGGGGTCGGGTGGCACCCATCACCAGTGTTTGCCAAATGGACCGGGGGAGCAAGCCTGGGTCCCACAGCCTCCAGAACCTAGGTGTTCCTGGGGCCCCGCCCTGGCCCAGCTCCTTGGGGTGGCTGCCCCCTCCCTGCACTCACACTCTGCAGCCACTGAAACACAAGATCTCCCAAGCCTGACTGACCAGCCTGACCAGCCCCCTCCCTGTCCATATCGACTCTGGCCACTGGCCAGCGAAGGCGGGAATGGAGGCAGAGGCCTCAGCGGTGCTCTTCCTGGGCAGGGCGGCCAGCTGTGGGGGCTCCCCGCAGGTTGGTCATTCTCAGCCCTCTCCCTGCTCAGGCCGGTGTCAGGTGTCCCTGAATAATGCATGGCCCACTGCCCGCCACTTGGCGCGGTTACCATGCCCTCTCCTGCTTGGGAGACCCTGGCGAGCTGTGGAGGGCGGGCTGTGGGCACAGGTGTCTTCTGGGAGGCGCCTAAGGCCCCAGCCCTGCCTAGAGTGAGAGGGCTGGATCGAGGAATGGCATCCGGCACTGGCCAGATGCCCTGGACATGGAGGGACAGGTGCCCTGCCCCCCAGCCACAGTCCCTGGGCCTGTCACGCGCCAGAACTATTCCAGGCCTGGCGGGAAGGGACACCAATCAATGAACACAGAGCAACAGCGTCCACCTCTGAGGCCACTGAGAGTGACAGGGTGGGGCAGGGACAGGGCAAGGGAAGCCTGCAGGGCCCTCAGGCAGCCAGGTCAGGTGGCCAGGCATGGGGGCAGGTCCCTCCCCTGGGGCCACAGTGGCATGGAAGCCTGTGGATCACTTGGCTCACATGCCCTGTTGTCTCGGTGACGCTGGCAAATGACAGTAGGATCCTGGTCTCAGATCCTTACAAGGACCCAGGGCTGAGCTCCTCAAGGGCGGGGGCAGGCTTGGCAGGTCTCCGGGAAGGCCCCTCAAGGGGACCCATGCCCACCAGTGATTGCCTCTACCTGGGGGAGGGGCCACAGCCCTGTGCCAGGCCTGCAAGGGGGCGAGGCTGGCAGACGCAGCCCTGGGCGCCGGGCCCTCGCTCCCTGAGCCTGTGTCTGCTCCCCATTCCTAACTCCTACCTCAGACCCCAAGCAGCCAAGAGGTGGACACGGCCCAGGCCCTGTGCTAGGGGACCCCAACTCCTCAGGGCCTGCCTGCCTGCGAGGGTGGGTGGGGGCCACCCTGTTCAGGCCTGAGCCTGAGAAGGGAAGGGGACTTGGATGGGTGAGGAAGGTAGGGCCTGGGCAGAGTTCCCCTGCCAAGGGCAGCTGAGTCTTCCTCAAGGTCACCACCTGATCTCCCAGCTGAGACACCGCAACTCTGTCCTGGGCAGTGGGGGCCATTGGGGGCGGGACTGCTCATGGGAGGTGGCTGGGTGCTGCAGCCACTTCTCTGACACCCTGGCCTGTCACCCAGACGGCTGTCACAGGCTGTTGGACAGAGGCCGGGAGCCCCTTATCTGTCTCCAGACAGTGAGAAGGGGGGTTCTATTTTAAGCCCCTGAGAAGAGCAAACCTCTGGTGGGGGTTGGGGGGAACGGGGGGCAGGAGGCAGAGCTTAGGGAAGGAGGAGGAAGACCCGGGGCAGGCAGGCTGGGGTGGCCCTGCCTGAGTGTCCCTCCCTGACCCTTCTTGCCAGCACCTGTCTGAGGGCCTGCAAGACTTGGCGCAGGGGAATGCCTGAGGTAGGGTTTCCGAGGGCAGGCTTGCTGAAATCTGAGCAAATTCTCACGCGGAAACTCCACACCTGCTGGGGTTGCCCCCAGCTCTGTGGGTCTGGACAGAAACCCTGGACAGCTGGAGCACAGCTTTGCCAGGAGGCCAGTGGGCCAGCCACCCCGACTGGAATGGCTGCCCCGTGGGAGGGGAGCCATGTGGTCACAGGGGCTGGGGCCCCGGCCACGTCCAGGCCACCCTGACCTCAGGCAGTGTCGGCTCCACCTGATGAGGGCCCAGAGACTCATCAGCCCTCTTCTTGCCCCTCAGGAGGGTGGTGGGCATGGGGCCAGGCCCTGAAGGAGGCAGCTGTGTGGGGGCAGCAGGACCCCAGCCCAACAATGGCCACAGGCCATGCCGCTCACTGCGGGCTCCCTGGGAGGGCCGTCTGCCTGGGGTGGACGCTGGTCTGGACCCACCCTGGCCAGCAAGTCCATCCCTGCTGGATCCTCCAAGGTGCCAGGGGGCAGGGGGCTGCGGGCTTTGACAGGGAGAGAGAAACAAAAGACACGAATAGATCTAAGTGGTTTTTTCTTTTTATGAGTTTTTTTTCCTTTGTTTTTTTTAATATGAAAATTACTTGAAAAGACAAGGGGCCAACCCCACCAGGCAGCTCGGCCGGCCGCTGGCCGTGCCGGTCCTAACATTCCAGGTGTAAGTTACAGAGTGTAAGTTCATCTACAAAAAAAGTAATAAAAATAAAATTTAAAATGGCACCTTCAACGGAACACAACAAAACTTGCGGCCAGCCCAGGAGCCGGCAGTGCAGCACAGTCACTGGGCGGCTCCTCACTCCGCTCCGGCCAGAAAAGGAACACAAAGCTAAAAACAGCTCCTGGGCTCTCCCGGAATAAGTTAACCGTGCTCTTCCCCACACGCAGCCCAAGGAGCAGCTTCTCTGTAGGTGGAGGTGGGAGGGCGCTACCAAAACCAGGCGGGCGGGCAGGCGGGCGGGCAGGCGGGGGCTGGTCTGTGGTCGGAGCGGCCTGGGGCAGTGGCGGGCCTAGTCCTCGATGACGATGGGCTCGTCGTTGACTGGCGCGGGCGGGGGTGGCCGCAGTGGCAGGGCCTGGCTCTGGCGCAGGGCAATGGGCTTGTAGGGCCGGCGGGCAGCTCGCTTGGTCTCCGAGGATGAGAGCAGCTTGCGGATTTTCCTGTGAGCGCAGAGTGGCCCCCGAGTGATGAGCACGAGGCCGTCCAGGGCCCACCCACCTCCACGCCAGGCCGGAGGCCTCACCTGGTCTCCTCGGTGGCCATGTAAAACACATCGTCGGGGGCATCGATCCAGTTCATCCTCCGCCGCTTGACGGGGGGCAGGGAGCCCCCGCGCAGGAGGCGCACTTTGGTGGGGTGCGGCTTCCCGTTGAGCAGGAGACTCCGGCTTGGTCCCTGGGCGAGAGGACCCGTGAGGGGCTTCCCGGGGGCCTCCCCCACCTGCCCCCTGCTGGGCCTCCCTCTTACCATGTGCCTGGTCTGTCCATGGTTCGCCAGGCCTGACAAGAAGGGAGAGGGAACATGAGGCCCAGTGTATCCTTTGCCCTTGTGCCATCGAGGCCCCTGAAAGCAGGAGGCCCCTGGGCCAGCCCCCACCCCGGGCGAAATGTGGGGGGCGAGCTTCAGCTGCCTTCGGCCAGCCCGGCCCGGGCGCCCCACAGCTCCTGGGGCTCCGAGAGCCACCAGGCTCGGGCCCTACAGCTCACTCTCACTCATGAGCCCCCACTGCCGGCTCAGCCCAGACGAACAAAGCCTTGTGCACCCAGGAGGACCAGGCCTCACTGCTGCAGATGCCACGGCGCCAGAGAGCCCCTCACAGGTGACCCCTCCTTGGCCAGGTCGGCTCAGACCTCCTGAGGCCAACTGCCTTCACTGACCCTGGGGCTGGGGACCTGGAGCTCCAGGCCTCTGCCTGGAGTCAGGCCGCTGCCCCAAGTCACAGTCCACCACCTGGCCGGGCCATCCCAGGGGCACCCGAGAGCACCAACTCCCACACTCTCGTTGGCCGAGGACCTGAGCAGAAAAGCAGGACTGAGCCCCAGGCCAACAGCGCCTTCC